AGATCAGTTCCTGGAAGTGTGTGTTCAGCCTGGGAATAGCATGAGCTGTTTTAAGGCCACGTGAAAGCAGCCCCGTTACTGTTATTCCCTTCTTATTGTTATTATTAAAATGGTTAGAGCTGTCTGGAACTATTATTTATCTTTTGTACGTGCACATGAACACAGTAACTAATATCTTAAATCAACGTGTCTGAACAGTGGGAGACACAGAAGAGGAAGCAAGCAGCAGGGAACATCTCTTGGAAGGGTTTCACCGACTGAGAAATGCTCTCTGAGAATTCCATCACAGAATACTTAGCATCTTCCACTTGCTTCATTTACTACATCTCTCCTCCTTCCTGCTTGCTTGTTTCCTCGTCTAAGATGAAAATGAAACCTCCATCTTCATGTTTAGTTATGGTTCACTGGCTGGTGCACTCTCAACATTCATGTTTATAGGAAAAAGAGAGGAGTAAAATCTTTTTCTGATTTTCTCCTCTTTTGCACCTATTATTGTGGCATTTCATGGAAATCACAATGAAGAGTCACAATATATCTGGTGAAAGCAACACAGGAGAAACTTTTCGCCAGACACTTCGCATATTACACAGCAGTGAAGCAATTTGTTTTGTTTTTTTAAAAAGTGGCATACACACACAGGGCATGGACCTAAAACAGGTAGCCTAACATAGGAGGAGAGATGGTGGTTTAGACTCCAGCAGAGCACAGCCAGAAGCACTGCGGGCTCTGCAGTACAGTATTAGCTTTATACAGTGAAACCTGCAGTGCGGGGCAGCAGCTGGCTCCCCAAAGCTGGTGTGCACCAGAAGCCATCTTTTAAGCTGGCTCCCGCCAACTGCCCCGATATAGAGCCTGCAGCGCAGGGTGACAGCGTATAATTTAACAGCAACCAATAAGCACAGGCTTATCGGTTAACCATTTAAATGGTAATGCTTTACATTACTACTGCATACTTTTTTTTTTTTTTTTTTTTTAAAGCAGCCACCAACAGAATATCAACAGGAAGAAAAGATAGGAAGCTGAAAGGGAAGTGCCAGAAATGCAATGGGTTCTGCTTCTATGTGTGTACACTGCTGAATGGTGTTACACTGGCTGAGTTTTCTCTATCCTCTTCCTAATGCATGTGGCAGTGCCCAGAAACATAGACATTCCTATTTCTCATGTATACATACAGAACTTCTAACAAGTTCCCTTCTTCACTGTTGCTGGCTATTTTTCACAGCAGCAGACTACCTTCATTTTGGTGGTCACCATCTTTAATTTTGCCAATTTCCTGATAATTTGCTGCAATTTGATGTCATCTCAAAAGGAAAAAAAAATGGAAAGATTGAATCAGTTACTTAAAAAGTCTTAAATTCTTCTCCTGTCAGCCCTTGGGAATTAGCATCTAGAAGTGCAAACTGCAATCAATCATAACCAGAATGAAGAAATTAGGATCAAAGTTCTGATCCAAAGAATTCTAACTATCCCTCTTCCTGAACACAATTTACCAAACTGTATGGATTCAACTCATTTATTCTGCAGGTACACTCATTGAAAAGCTTTCACTTTTGAGGGAGAGAGCTCCAGATGGCAGAGACAATCAGGATTTGGTTTTAAAAACTGCATCTTGTCTATAGCTCTCTTCTCACTTCTTTCTTACCCTTTCTCCCCCACCTTTGTTTTGCTGTATCAATTCATACTTCAGTCTTATTGAATTCTGTTTCCATACCCTGTCTCTAAGAGCTGAAAAAACACTGTTCCTCTTCTCTTATCTCAGCATCTGAAGAGAGGAACCTCCATTTATAAAGGCGATCTTTTCCAAGCAGTACAACAGACTGCATTTGAAATGTAGCCAACTTTCAGTAAGAGGATCAGCACAGCAATGGATCTGAGCTTAGTGTGAGACATTCAGAGGTAAAGGGAGAAAATGCTGACCCTCAAATTCAAGGATTAAAAAAAATTTAAGTGGCTGGAATTTTTAGTAACTTGTTCTGCATGTATTTGTGCACACAAATTGCATGTGCAGCACTGTGTATAATGTGCAACCTGCTAGACTTACAAGCAAGACACAAATGTAGGAAAATCTACTTACTGAAAATCACAGCCTACATATTTGTGATTAGACTTTGCGTATGAAAATCTACCAAAATTAAGATGGCATGGCTTTTGCACACTATTTTGGACTGCAACTGTCTATTAAAACATAGATCAACAGTGCCAAAAACTGGAATGTTCTACCCACTGAATAGCTACAAGGTAAGAAACAACAGTGGAGACTTCATTACTGCTCGAGTCCCAAAATCCCCTGAAAGGAGCATCTGTAAATGATGTAACATTTATAGCCTTCCTCCTCTCTATGAAGAGGGCCAACAGTAAAAGTGGGTAAAAATCTGAGAAACTGAGATTGAAACTACAGGAAGTCACCAGATGGTAACAACTATTGGCTGCCATCAGGCAGTCTGGCCTAATGAAATAAAGACATATGCTTACCACTTAAGTATCAGCTGACTGGATGTCAATTAAAAAACTATGAGGTCTACCCCAAGCTCTAAGACACCCTACTCTTTTTTTGTACTTCCCCTTTCTGGGGAGCTATTTTAGGCAAATCTAGTTACATGAGGATTAACAAGTGCTAGCAAAGACTTCTACAAAGAGAGAAAAGGCATTCACACCTTGAAAACCTCATTTTGCCCATTCTTTCCCTCCTACCCCTTCTTCCCAATGATGCCTACGACACATACACCAAAAACTATATAGATGCACATCTAAATATTTACTTACTCATTAGCATTCAAGCTAGCTGTGGCTTTGATGATCATGTAGCAGAGTGTGAGGGCGCTGAGGAGGCCAAAACTGGCAATAATAAACCATTCTTCTGTTGACAAAGGAAAGGAGGAAATCACTCGTGGGAGAAGGCTTATGTCAAATCGATGTGAACATTTCTCTCAAACGCCACTGGCAGAAGGCAACAGGGTTCTAAGCCATGATTGGTACCAGGAAGTAAAGCAGAAGGAAGTTAACCACAGAGTTACTGATTGGAGAAGGCTAGCAAAGAAGAAGTTTAGAGAGGTATGGAAAAAAAGCCTGGCACAGCAGTATGTCCTGGCTGAACCAAAGGGTTAGCAAAAAAGAAGGAGCATTTAACAATGTAATGTGAAACGTAAGACAGGGAAAAATGTAAAATGAAGGCTTTCCTCCCCTTCCAGTTAATATGGGCATTGTCAGGGTTGGTTTGGTAAGCCCAAAATGTGATTCTTCATATACATGTTATGTATACAGACACACATGTATAAAAAAAATTCTTTCCCCAAAACATACTTTATTGAAATTTTTATTTACACAAATTCATTGCCAAGTGCCAAAGCACTAATGCATAACTAACAAATTTTCCACATAACGGAAGGATGTGATATTTGGAAAGGAAACAGATTTCAGTTTCAAATGATTATAAATATGTACAAATGCTTGAAAGTAAAAAAATATCTTGACAATGACCTTTAAAAAATTGTTCCGTCTCAAAGGCATTATTAAATAGCCTCTATGCTCTCTCTCCTACTGAGAAGTTCTGCATGTGCAAGTAAGTTTAATTACAAACATTTCCATTTACTGAAACGTATTTTAGACTTTGAGTGTGCTACAGAAATGTGTGTAATATATAAAGTCAAAGCATTTTTAAACAGGCTTCATTTTATAACCACAAACAGAATGAACTGTTGCTTATATTTCTCTTTTCTTTCCCTTGGTGTTCCATCTTTGAAAACCGGATACTACAACAGGGAACAGACAGCCAACACACTTGCCATCAAGAAAGTTGAGCAGTTATCCTGGTTTAGTTGCAAACTTCTCTCTCCTGGGTAGGAACACTTTGAATATTAAAAGTTGTTACCAGGTTTAGTCTGTGTTCAGGAGAGCTAAATTAGGGATGGATTAGTAGAGACAGATGCAAGATAAAATGACTTGTTGGTTTTATGAGCAAACTAGATTTGGGGTTTGTTTTTGCACTTCTCAGGCCAGTATGCTACTGAATATTAGTGAGTTTGGGGGAAGGGTGGGAAAAGGGGAAAAAGGAAAGTTTTCTATCACAGATTGCTTTGTTGTAGTATAATACGAAGCGTTCCATAAAGCACTGTTTTACAGACTTTTTTAGTAACTCTGCTTATTAACATAGGTAAGAATACAAGTAGCGTCCCGAGTTTGTGAGATTGGGTGACTAGATACAAATGAAGAAAACATGAAAAGACCGACTGCCTCCAACAGAGATTTGAGTTCTGTGATGCAGTCAAATAGAAATATGCATCCATACATCAAATCTTTGCCTTAAAGCATTTACAAAATGATGCAATGCCCTGTGTACTGCATATATAGGGTCTTTGTTTATACACCAGAAGCCCTAGGTGGAATTTATTTTCAGTGGAATTTCCTCCAGTTTTTCCTTTGAAGAGAGCCTTGCAAATAGTTAGCTTTCACTGTCCTCCAATACTTTGATGCCCAAAACATCCAGCTTACTCTGGGTTCAAAGACCTTAGCATCAAACACAAAAATCACAAGTTATAAAGGCAAGTATGACAAATGCTAAGGCTGATCTCTTAGAACTCCACTTGGAGCCTTAAGGGTTCTAAATGTAACACACTAATTAAGAAAATGTCTAAGTACCCATAATACCTATAACTACCTTAGTAACTAACTAATCAGTTAAATAATAGTCTTATAGTATTGTTTTGCTGTGTTGAAACAGAGGATGCCTTTTTGGCAACCATGCTTCCCATGTCGGTTACCAAATGCATTTTTTTTCTTGAAGTTCACCTGAAAATTGTATGAAGTGCTAAATTAATTTACAATTCATAATAAAAGTGTTTGCACCACAGCTCCTGAAATTGTCAGTTTCAATAAAAAACATGTATATTTATTGTATTGAGAGAGGTCAGCTTTGTCTCTACTGGGAAAGCTTTCTCCACTGCCCTGCTGTGCAGACCCACAGCAAAGCAAACACTGCACAACAGGGAAACCATAAGACTTACTTGTTACGGCAATGTTGATTTCCCCTGTCCTCGGAGTTATTTCCCCATCCTGTGGAAGCTGTGACATCCCACTAGTGCGCAGGGGCTCCTGGCTGAGTGAGTTGTCATTGGCAAAGTCACCAAGTGCTGATCGTCTGTTGGCTGGCTGGGCTCTGGTGAGCCTTTCCATATCAAAGGCTACATTATCTGTACATGGCACATTTGTCTGAAAAAAACATTTTCATATTAAAGTGTTAGTTATTCTACACATAGGCAGTCTGTAAAACCAAAAACCACACATATGTACACACTTTTGACATTTCTCTCTTACTTAAGGTTTTTGTTTTTAAACAAAGACGACACTGAATCATGTACAAAAGCTATCTCTGTCATAGATGGACAAGGTGGCCCAGGTAATACATTTTATTGGACCAACTTCTGTTGGTGAAAAGACAAATTTCTGAGCTCTTCTTTAGGTCTCTGTGTTAGGCTCAAAAGCACGTGACTTTCACCAACAGAAGCTGGTCCAGTAAAAGGCATTACCTCACCCATCTTGTCTCTCGAATATCTTGGGACTAACAAGACTATAATACCACCATCCCGATGATAAAAAGTTGGTCCTATGCTCTCTGGCAGTAAGTTACAAACAACTTGTTTAAAAAGGCTGAAAAAATGTGTGTAAATAAGTATAGGAAATATCATGATTCAGTTGAGGGAGCTGTACATGTTGGTATCACAGTGCCTATACACAAAAACAAGTATATTCTTAACAGTAAATTTTATTACAATGGGCCATAAAACCTGATTTTCTGTGTACTCTGTCAATGGTGAGAACTTTAGACAAGGCATGTCAAATTACAGTTTCCTCCTTTAAAAAACTCAGGTATGTTGATTACAAAAACAGCTTGCCCACAGTATGTTATCTGCTGCTATTTCTAGAAAGTCTGTGCTGTTTTTACCCAGCTAAGAATGTAGATCTGATTTCTCCCTTGTTATGTTGGTCTTGATTGTTACTACAGACGCACTGAGCTTTCCTTTCCCCTTTTTATGGAGGACATAATCTGCCTGAGAATCGCCAGTGCGATCAGAACTTCTCCCCAGAGAGGGAAATGGGAGAAAGGTCTCCTATGAGACATTCTTTAATGCCTCTTTGCGAATCAGTTAGCAGTTGATATTTGCAGAATAGATTCACCAAGCACTCAAACTCTCTATATGCACTTGAGGTCCTCTGACTAAAAAGAGAGATGTCAGAGGCTACACTCAAACCTTAGGAAGAAGGGCTCCAACACGGGTGGGTAATATACTCTTGCTATGCTACCATACTTACTGTGATGGATCTCTTATTATGAGCTACTTTGTGTGAAGAAGTTACTTGAACTGGCTGCATCAGTTATGTAATACAGGTCACAAATATGCAACTTACAACAATTCCTAGAGCCTTCAAAATGTTCAGTTTACACATTGGACAGGTACAGTGCTCACTAAGCCAAGGATCCACGCAGGCTTTGTGGAAAACGTGCCTAGAAAAGAATACACAGGATACCCACAAGTTATAAACCTGCAAGAGTTTCATGGCGTACAGCAGGAACAGTCTAACATTCAGATGAGGTTTCAGAAATGAAACTTCCAATTAAAACAATTTAGAAGCTTGCAACATAAACTACAAGAGACAAAGAAAAGAACATTATGGAGCTAACTGAATCCATTTCTGTTAGTGTTCAGTGCTGTCTTGATCAAGGAAATACAAAGTTCTGCTCTCCTTTGCCATCAGTTCATCATGATTCACATAGGAAAAATAGGATTTAAAGCCCTGGTTCTGCACTTGGACCCACACAGGCAAGCCAGTGGAACCTGCTGAAGTCCCAATAACAGGATCAGATTATAATGTGTACTATAGAATCCACATAGATCCACAATCTCGTCTTTAATGGGATTTAAACTGACATCTGAATACATTAGCATTCCAGCAAAAATACAATGCTAGTAATTTAATACCAGTAGCAGTATATAACCTGTGATATTTTCCAAGTATACTTCATATTTTTGCAGTGTTTATATATTTTGTTACAGATAATATATCATTTAGCTAAATATCAGGTTTACAAACAAAGACCCTAAACACACAATTGAATCATTGCAGGAGTATTTTCTACAAACTAAGTTTGGTTCTTCTGGATGTTGGCATAGCACAAACTGCAGGGTAAAATTTACATGTATGTTCATTTAGTTAAGATCCTGTATCTGTGCAGGATGACCATCCTTAATTTTAAACATTTTTAAATGTGATATATATATATATAACAATTTATAAAGTACCTATTGAAATAGTATTTAGGAACTGGCTCTCTCTCAAATAGAGACCTGCCACATTAAAATTGTTCAAATATGCTAGCTGGGTTATTAAATTGCCAGAACGGTGTCAGAAATGTTACAACAGAGATTAATGCTGGAAGCTGGACACAGAGAATCCTACCACTTCTTCTATGACATATTAGGGTTGTACATCAATTTTGATGATTTTGCTGTTGCATTGCCCTAGCTCACTGCTAAGCCTTTTTAGTGCTTTTAGTGCTTGTCTTCAACAATCTGCCACCTTTTTACTTTCCAGTAGTTTAAACTGGCTTGTGTGGACACTGGCCAACCTGCTGACACTCCCACCTTCAGGGAGCTTTCCTTCCCTTTCCCAGTTGAACTTACATTGGCTGTCTCCCTCCCCATTCAGAAGTAGCTGCTGGGACACTATGTGCCTTCTCTATGCTGGATTTTTGGGAGAGGGAAAAGATTCCCCTACATAAAGCAGGGTCTCAAATACAGCCTTGGGCAGCAGCAGAGCCTCTCTGCAGCAGCTGCTTGCACACAGTTAGCTGCTTTCCTCCTCCCCCCATGTCACCAAGCTCCACCCAGGTCCACTGTCATCCTCCCCCCATGTCACCAAGCTCCACCCAGGTCCACTGTCAATCAAGTGGCAAGAACACAGTCTCATTAGAAATCAAATTTAAACTAAAAATCAATGTCGCCTTACAATTAAAAGCAAACCAAATCTATTGTATGTTAATTCTTTTCAGACTCTTATAACCGGCAAAAGTATGTGCTAGGGAGGAGAAACATGTAAGAGCTTTACCCTACAATGCGTACCTTTTGAAAACTGGAAAAATAGGTTAACCATTCTACACAGGAAAAACAATCTTCTAAAGATGGGAAAGCAAAATAGGCTTCTACTTGCACAGCACGTTAATCTGCATTAGACAAGAGATTTGTATCTCCACCCACACGGCTTGCAAAGACATGCTTTCGGATAGACTGATTAATATTGGAGGTAATTAACACTGATTTTGTTATAAGCTTAAGAACAGGAAAGGAATGTGCAAAGATAGTAACATGCTCAGGCAAAGAAAGATATTTTGCCTTCCTTGACCTGTCACTTTACTTGTAGAACATTTTTGAGAACGAGTACAGGTTGGACCTCGCTGGTCCGGCACCATGGGGACCTGACTAGCCCTGAATGAGGGGATTTGCCGGACCAGGGGAGGTCCTTCCCTCCTGGCCCATGTACCACTGGGTTAGGACCCCAGTCCCCCTGGGCTCACTAGAAACTGCCAGAGCTGGAGTGTCACAGCTGGAGCTCTGCAGCCTGGGCAGAGCTCCAGAGCCACCTTGCTGCACAGCTGGGGCCGGAGCTGCACAGCTGGGGCAGAGCTCCACAGCCACCTGGCTTCACAGCTGGGGCCAGAGCTGCGCAGTCAAGGGCTGAGGTGGAGGGCCAGAGCTGGAGCTCTATAGCTGGGGCTAGAGCTCCCTGGTTGCCACTGAGGCTGGGCCTGGAGCTCCCTGGGTTCTGGAGCCAGAATGGGTCCAGGGCGGATCTCCATGGTCGTTGCTGGGGCCAGAACTCCCCACCATGCTGCCTTTTACCTCCCCCCCCCAACACTCTGGGGACACTGGGCTCCCAGATGAGTTGCCAGTGCCCCCCTATGGCGCTCCTGCCCTGCCAGCAGACCTCCTTGTTCCTTGACTCTGTGGTCCAAGAACATCTGTGGTCCGTGCCAAACCACTGAGTCCCGGTTAAGGGAAGTACAATGTATAGCTGGGGTAAGAAATGGTATCGGTAGATTCTCTACCTTATACAACACAGACATACACTAATATACTTAGTCTACACTGAAAAGTTGTATTGACACTACTATGTCAGCAGTTGGGGTGAAAAAAAACCTATACCCACAGTTATGGCAACAAAATCCTCAATATAGATGCAGCTCTGTAGATTCAGCTATGTTGATGGAAGAGTACTTCCGTTGACGTAGCTAATATCATTCAGGAAGATGGTGGTTGTACAGGATAGGAAAAACTTATCTTGGTGTAGGCTGTGACTAGGTGGACAGAGCTAACTGAGAAGCAGCTTTGTAATGCCATACCCGAGAGAATGAATAGTGCACCATCTATTCCAGGCTACTGAGCAACCCATGACTGGCCATCAGAGCAGCTGAGAATCAGGGAGGTGTGAAATTTCTGTATAGCTGCCTTTTCTTCCTCCTTCCTTTCCAAGGTTGTGCCTGTTATTCTGTCCACCCTTCACCCCGAGTTGCTGAGCATGGCATGTCTCCCTGTGTTCTATAACAGTAATCTGTTCCTTCTTCCTTCTCTACCACAGAAGACATTAAAAGCAGAACACAGGAGGCAGGTCACAAGGAAGCTACTAAGTCCCCAGGAAGTCTACCTGGAGAACTGTTCCTGAAAAGGTTTATTACTAAAAATGGAAAGATGTAATTCATCTACAGTAATAATTTCATGTTCACAGGTATTAAGATGGTTGCAGTACTCATCAAGTATGCTCTAATCAATAGAGCTTGTGCAAACCAACTAAGGGGAGTACAGGTATACAAGTTTAACCAAGAGCCTAATCTGGTCTGCAGAGCCTATTCTACTACTAGGGTTGCCAGATGTCTGATTTTGAACTGGACAGTCCAGTATTTGAGCTTTCTGTTCGGGAAACAAATTGAGAAAATATAAATGAGAAAATATAAATGTCCAGTATTTTCTAAATAAGATGTAATGTAATGTCAAGTGTGTCCGGTATTTTTGTTGAAACCATCTGGCAACCCTAACTACTACTGATGACATTAATAACGAAGGTTGAGTTTGCAAAGGTGGCAGTAAAGCATAAAAACTTTACTGGCAACTGTCGTATATCTGAAATGTAATATTTTGGGAAATTGCAGTTGATTTTGAATGCATCTCAAGCTAAAAGACAGATTAGAGTTTTCATAAGAAGTTTAAGTTATGAAAAGCAATGAATTGCTACCCTAAAGCAAAATACCCATCTGCAGGCTGGATCTGGCCTGCCAAGCCACCAAATCCAGCCTGTGGACACAGCGGGGAGGTCTCAGAGAGATTCCCTTGCCTGTCTCCCACATGCTGCTGAGAAAAGCTGCTGAAGGGCTTTGTTTGAACAACCTAGAAGCCTTTCCACATTGCTCCCACCCCCAGCACAATGCCATTGGCCAATTTCTGGCCAATGGGGAGCTGCCTGTTGTCTACAGGCCGCTTGCAAAGCACTCACCCCCTCTCTTCTCAGGCTCATAACTGTTCAAAAACCACATGGCCCCTGCAACCAGTGAAGAGGCAGGGAAGGTGGGGGGGTCTGCTTGACAAGGCTGCTGGCTGGAGTCAAGCAGGTAAGTCTCCCAAGCCAGAGCCTGCCTCTGGCTCCCCAAACCTTTCCCTCCCTACCTCACATAACCCAAATCCTCGTCTCTTCTCCTTCCCCCATACTCCCTCCCAGATCCTGCCCCCAATTCCCTGGCCAATGTCACAACCCAAACTCTCAGTCCCCATATTCCCTCCCAGATCCTGCACCCCAATCATCTGCCCAAGATCAAAGCCTAAACCCCTGCATCCTAGTCCCCTGCTCCAAGCCACAACCCCCTCCTGCCATAGGTCACAGCCCAAACACATGTACACCCTCTTGTACGCTAGTCCCCTTCTCCAGGTCACAACTGCCTCCTTCACCCAAATTCCCTCCCAAACCCCACACCCTCTTCTGCACCCCACTCCCTTACTGCAAGCTCCTTTCTGCATCCAAACCTCCATCCCAGACCCCATGCCCCCTCCATTAATATGGAAGAGTGCGGCTCTTGACCACTTTCCAAATTCTTGGAGTGGCCCTCCCCACCAAAAATTATTGCCCACTCTTGCCCTAAAGAAACCAATTAACATAATTTTATGCACCACAGGATTGGAAACCATGTAAACATGGAGACACACATGGAACTCCACATCATATTTTCACAGTCACTTGAGAACTATACTCTCCAGCATTCATGGGCTGCTTTGGCATGGTGAGCCGTATTAATCAACTTACAAATGCACTGCTTGAACATGCCAGATTGTTTCACCAAGAAAATGCAATAATCTCCACTATCCAGGATGCTGATATCTCAGCTTCATTCTAGAATTCTTATTAAGGCAATGAATGTGGTGTGAAAAACGTGAGAAAAAAAAAGGGATTGGTACACTGCATATC